CTTGCTTCCCCACTCACCATGGGATATCTGCACAGCCAGCTCCTCTTCACCTGCAGCCATGAGTGAAAGCAGCCTGAGGCTTTCACCAGATGCCCTATCTTGAACCTTCTAGGCAGCAGAATCGTAACCCAAATAAACCTCTTTCTTTATAAATCACTCAGTCTCAGATATTCCTTTATAGCAACACAGACAAGTAAGTTTAACTACTCTACTTTTAAAATTAAAATATATATATATTTCTGTAGGTATTAGAACATGGTTTTTCTAGTTTGGAAAAAAACTGCATATGAAATATACAACCAAAGTGCAATTTCAATTTCAATGAAATATAAGGCAATTAAAACAACGAAAGGAAAATGTTTGCATGACAATAAGTTCACAGTCAAATAATCTCAGAACTAATTGCTATAGAGACTGGTTTTTGACTGTTACAGATTGAGGCATAAACTGATTGAAGAGAGATTTAAACAAATTTAACAACAAACTGTCATTATACAATAGCAAATTTCTGTTCTTTAAATTAATAGACCATCATTGAAGATTTTGAAAAAGAAATAAGAAATACTGTATGAATATAAATATGGCTTGAAGAAATTGTGAAAAAAAACCCTCACATTATGGATGATAGTAATTTATATTATGAAATTCAAATATTTTCTATTTTCTGTGATAATCATGTATCACACATGACCCAAACACAATGCTCAAACACAATATGTAAAATTAAATGCAGTCATCTTTGATAACTTGCTTACTTTCGTCCTGAAAACCACAGCTTCCCACATATTTTTCTATTTTGTCATTACAAAGGTAGATTTGTCAATGCAGAAGGATGAAATGCATTTTATTCAGCAATGTTTTAGCTTGATTTATAACTTTTAAGTATACAGACATAGAGTATGTGGGCCACCGTTCATCCTCTTGCCACGGATGCTAGGGGCCAACGTGAGCCCAGCATCCCAACCACAAGTACATTTCAGAACTAGGCTGGTGAGCACTGAGAATGAGGGATGAGGAAGCCTGATTTAATGACAACAGTTCCCTGTTAGGGCTAGGCAACTGGCACATGCCACACCAAAGGCAAGAAAGGGCAGGCCTAGGAGAGGCCTAGGAATGGTTGTTCAAGAAAGAATGGAGGCTGCTGTCCCTGAAGCTCGAATATAGTTCAAGGAGTTGGTTTCAAGGTCAGCAAAGGATAGCTGCAGCCCAAGGGAGATCTGCAGGACCCAGAGAGGGTAAACACTATCCCCCTCCTAGGGCCAGAGGAGCGGGAGACAGATGTCAAGGCAAAGAATCAGTGGCAGAGAACGCCTTGAGGCCCAAAGTCAGAGATCAAGCTTGAGTCTGACAGGCCTCCCTACAGAGGCCTGGGGAGCAGGTGGCACGGGGGCTGGAAGTGAGGGCCCCAGCAGGAGCAGGCAAGTTCATAGAGGATGCATGGCTGATGGAAGGGCCCAGGTGGGTGTGTGCACAGCCAAGGACGTGGGCCAGTCCTGGCCAAGGTCAAGAACTGGGTTGGACTGAGTTCAGAGACCTGGGCTGTGACTGACCTGAGGAAAAGGGTACAGTCCAGCAGAGAAAGGGAATTTTGTTCTTTGTGTGCCAGGAGCAGCTTCCCTGGACCACGTCTACACTTCATAGCCATAAGGTGTGGGCTGGGTGGGTAGGAGCAGGGATAGGGTATTTCCGGCCCTGCAAGACTGTGAGGGGGTCTGGGGCAGACTAATTAGTAGCTACTGAGAATAGCTGCAGAGGAGTTTTCCCTGAATCCTTGGAGAAAGTGGGTGTCCAGCATTTAACTAATCAAGCTCCTTTCTTTTTTTTTTCCTAGAGGAAGGAAGCTCTCTTCTTCAACCAAACTGACCAACCTGGACTCCATTCTCCTCCTTTCTAGACTGAGGAAGGATCGTAGGTCAAATTCTTGAAGGTTTGAAATGAGTATAAAGACTGAGAGTCCAAAAGGACTGCTAGCAAAAGGCAGTCTATTGTCTCATCCCTTAGGTTCTTCACCTTTGGGTCCTCACCCAACGTTTCTCCTGCCCTGAGTCGATGCAGAGGGAGGAGGGGATCCCCACACACTGTCACTCTAGACAGAGGCTTCTTTCCATCGTCTCTGACCTCTGAGAAGCAATCAACTCTCAGGCTCTTTTTCCCCAGGTCAGACACAAAAGACTAAGTTAGACATTTCCCAAAGGAAACCGACTACTTTACTAGGGGAAAAGTCACATCAAAAGCATGATAGTACAAGACTGCAGGGATGGATGTGGCCAAAGGGAATTATTTTTTATTTAGGCAGAATCAAATTCTGCCTCAGGAGATTCAGCTGGCTCTAGTGTGGATGGATGCCAGGTTATTTCTCAAAGACCCAACCTTGCATGGCCCCTGGGGCTGAGCAACTCATTCCACCACAGCAAATGAATTCATGATGTGGGGCCAGGCTGCCTCCTAGCCTTGGGCTGAGATGCTGGTCAGCGCTGCATGGCATGAGACAGCCCAATTCCCAAGGAAGGGGAGGGAATTAATTATTAAGGACCTACCAGTTTGCATTTGGGTTTTCATTTAATCACGTCAACAAGCAAGACAGCGAAGATTTGACTAGTATGAGATCTTAGTTTGACCCAGTCAGGTTTCAAATAGCTATGGAGGAGACTGAGAAGTAAACAAATTAACCATGCTCACAGTTAGAATGCTGATATATTCAGATACATCTAGAGGAACTAGGGCACCAATAGAAGTCCAGACCCAGGAAGGGGCCGGTGATAATGCGCAGTGCTGGTGAGGGACCATTTTTTCTTTTTTTTTTTTTTTTTTTTTTTAGTAGAGATGGGGTTTCACCATGTTGGCCAGGATAGTCTTGATCTCCTGACCTCATGATCCATCCGCCTCATCCTCCCAAAGTGCTGGGATTACAGGCATGAACCACTACGCCCAGCCCATGACATGCTTTTGATCAGTGTATAATTGGTGTAGCGTTTTTTGTTTTTGTTTTTTTGAGATGGCCTCTTGCTCTGTCAGCCAGGCTAGAGAACAGTGGTGCAATCTTGGCTCACTGCAACCTCTGCCCCGCAGGTTCAAGCTACCCCAGCCTCCTGAGTAGCTGGGATTACAGGTGCCTGCCACTATGCCTAGCTAATTTTTTTTGTATTTTTAGTAGAGACGGGATTTCACCACCTTGGCCAGGTTGGTCTCGAATTCCTGACCTCATGATCCACCCGCCTCAGCCTCCCAAAGTGCTGGGATTATAGGTGTGCGCCACCGTGCCTGGTACAACATTCTTGAAGGCAATTTGCTCTCATTAAACATTTGCACACACATACTCTATGACAGCAGTTTCATTGCCAGGAATTTATTCTATAGATTTACAAGTATACAAACGTTTGTGAACAACAACATTCATTGAAGCATTGTTTATAACGTAAAATAATGGAAACAAATGCTCATCGGTAGGCGACAAATTGAGTAAAATAAATATTCTGTATCTACTGAAAAAATGAGATAGGACCAGGCGTGGTGGCTTATGCCTGTAATCCCAGCACTTTGGGAGGCAGAGGCAGGCGGATCACCTGAGGTCAGGAGTTCAAGACCAGCCTGACCAACATGGAGAAACCCCGTCTCTACTAAAAATACAAAATTAGCCGGGCGTGGTGGCACATGCCTGTAATCCCAGCTACTCGGGAGGCTGAGGCAGGAGAATTGCTTGAACCTGGGAGGCAGAGGTTGCAGTGAGCCGAGATCACGCCATTGCACTCCAGCCTGGGCAACAAGAGCAAAACTCTGTCTCAAAAAAAAGAAAAAGAAAAAAGAAAAAGAAAAAGAAAAAATGAGATTGATCTCTATGTGCTAATAGGGAACAATGTATAAGATAAAATGAGAAAAGTAAATTGCAGAAGAACCTTGCAATACTGTCCCATTTGTAGGTTTTTAAAGAAAACTGATGACATATGGGCTTGCAGTGGAATAGAAAACATCTGGAAAGAACACACATGAGAAGCCGTGAATAGCGGATATCACTAGGGGACTTTTACTTTCTTTTTATTTATTTGTTTTTTGAGACAGGGTCTCCTCCATCTCTAAGGCTGGAGTGCAGTGGCGCCATCATGGCTCACTGCAGCCTCGACCTCCTAGGCTCAAGCAAGCCTTCCACTTCAGTCTCCCGAGTAGCTAGGACCATGCCCCACTAATTTTTGTATTTTCTGTAGAGTCATGGTTTTGCCATGTTGCCCAGGCTAGTACTTCCTATCTTACATTTTTCTCTACTGCTTTGAATTTACTTTTATGAACCTATATTACTTTTTAAATGGAAAAGAAAAAAGTTAATGAAAAAATAAGGGACCAGTAAGAGGTAATTCACCAAGAAAAAAAGGAATTTACCAAATGTATCCTTTGAAGCCAAACTCAGCCATAGGACCTAAAGGCAGGTAAGACATGGTGGCTGACTGATGGATCCTTCCTGACCGGCTGACATGGCCAAATGAACTGAGTGTTTGCTCTTCACTCATTAAGCTTGATTTCCTTGAGACCCAGGCAGTCTTGCTGTGGGGCCCAATAATGTGGATGAGAAGAGTGGTCCCCTTTCCCATTAGAAGCAGACTGTGGAGTTGTCAAAGCACAGAAGGGGAAGCACTTGTAGCTGGAGCTCCTGGCAGACTGGCACTCATGAAAGAGTCGGGAGGCAGCAGGATTGGATCTCCATTAGGCTGGATCTCCAGCTTAGTTACCACCAAGTCTTGGTACGGTGGAGGTGACGGCAGAACTATAGGCATCCAGCAACAGCAGAAGGAGACAGTCATCAGGACTGGGCTAGGAATGCATAATAGGGAGCGGGTAAGACAAGCTTGGAGAATCTCAGAAACACTTGAGGAAAAGCTATCAGAGACTGGAATGTCTGAGTGAGTACTTAAGCAATTTAAATTAATGATATTCAGGTTTCACTCACTCATCTGATACACTGAGCTCTTATTATATGCAAGGCACAGTACCAACCACAGGAGATACAGCAGTGAGCCAGGTAAACACAGAATTTATTGAATTGGATGGAAATAAAATTGCCAATATTCAACTTTTGGGGACTTATAAAAATGATAATTTCTTATGGATCAACATGAATACATTCTGGCAAGAGAGAAAGAAAACAACAACACATAACCCAATTAATTGCTTGATTACAATTATGAAAAGAGCTACAAAAGAGCAATCCGATCTGATTCAGCCCCATGCGTGCTGGTGTGTGTGTGTGTGTATGTGTGTGTTGCCAGCCAAGAAAGCCTTCCCTATAAGGAGTTATTTTAGAGGAAGCGAGGGTGAAGAAGAACTACCCTAGTGAAAGAGAGGAACAGAGATCATTCCTGGCCAAGTCTGGTGCAAAGGCCGTGAAGGGTAGGAGACTGGCATGTTCCTGGGCCTGAGAAGGTGACTGCCTGCAGGGAAGCAGGGGTGGTGGGATAAGGTCTAGAGAGAAGGGAGAGCCAAATCAGACAGGGCCTTGTAGGCCATGATGACTTTGGGTTTTATCTCAAGAGGTTTAAAAAAAACACAATGGTATATTATTTGTATCCAAAAGCTGGCAACTTCCTGGGAACATTCGGGTTACAAAGAATGTTCTATGCCCTCCAGATGAGCCTGGAGGTTCACAGCTACAGGGGTAGTATGTGGTAGTATGCATCAGCATCAGAATCTAGGTCTTTCCAAAGAGGTTTCTCCACCCTGGATGCCACTGGAAGGGTGGCAGGGGGATGAAACAGGCAGGGAGGCCGAAGAAAAGTCTCTAGGAGGAGGCCAAGGAGGCCCCATGCACCCTGGGCACTCCCCTCCCAGGGCAGCAGCTCAGTGCCCAGCAGTCCTGGCAGAAGTGGTGCACAAAAAAGCAGCAGATGAACGGGTCCAGGCAGCTGTTGAGACTCAGCAGCACCAGGCTGAGGGTGGGCAGGACGTCGAGGGTGGCGACGGTGTGAAACCTGTCTCCGTCACTGCCCCGCCCAGCCACCCAGGGCGCCAGCAGCAGGTGGTAGGGCGCCAGACAGAGGGCGAAGACCAGCGGGAGCTCCAGGACCATGGTCTTGGCCATGCTCCAGCGGGGACCGGCAGGAGCAGGGCCCAGGCCCGAGGGCGCCTAGAGCGTTGGCACCAGGCTCACGTAGGCCGCAAGCACCCGCAAGAAGACGGCTCTGACGAAGGCCACCGCCAGGTAGGTGGACACGTGGTAGGCCATCCCAGCCATGCGGCAGGCAGCCTCCGGGAGGGGCACGTGGGCCAGGCCCAGGTAGTAGGTGAGCCACGGCAGCAGAGTGAGTGTGAAGAGCACGTTGGCCAGGGCCAGGCTGAGCAGGTAGAGACGCAGGGCCTGGCCCAGGCGCCGCTGCTGACAAACACTGCCGGGGCAGCCATGTGGGTTGCAGCCCCAGGCCCGGCGCCAAGGCATAGGCCGCCAGCACCATGAAGAAGCGAACAGGATCATCCCAGGAGCTGCAGTCGCCAACACCCAGGTCCCCGGCACTGCTGTTCATCTCTGACCTTGAAATAGCAGAAGAAAGACTACTGCGGAGGCTAGCCACAAGGGCAGCACCCATTCTGTCTTCTCCCACCCCAGTCCCCATTTCTTCTTCATCACTTGCTGGGAGGGGACACTAGAGGCAGAGTCCATGTGAGAGGGAATGAGGACCGAACCTGGCCAGCAGCTAGCTGCTGAGAGGAGGGGATGGACTCCAGAGTTTTTGGTGACAAGCTGTGGGAAGTGAGAAAGAGGCAGGAGTCCTAGATAGCTTGGAAATTTCCAGCCTTGGTGACTGAGAGGGTACAGGTCCCCCTCACAGATGGATTATGGTTTGTACACTTTGGGGCACAGCCCTGTGCAATAAGCCCACATAGGGCTAAGCCTACAGGGAGTTCTGGAGAAACAGGCTGGAATATAAAAGAGTCCCTTCCAGAAAAAGTCCCAACCCCCCGTCCCTGTGCCACCCAGACGAGAAGCATGGATGGAGGAATGGGCTTGGGATGCAGTGACCCACAGGACGGGCCTGTGCACAGGGACCTCGGACTTGCGTTGGTCCTCTCCTAGAGAGCTGCGCCAGCGCTTGCCTGCAGCACCCTTGGGTGGGCTGAAAAAGTTCTGCCACTCTCAAGCCTTCCCAGCCTGTTTCCTCCCTGTCACTTTTTGACCACAAAGAAGTCCTGGGTCAGACTCAAAACTTTGGACAGAAAAGCAAAAACTGCACAGGCCCAGCAATCTAGCAGATTCTAGGTACACACATCTATTTGCCATGTGACCTTGGGCAAATTACTCAGCTTCACTGAGCCTGTCTTTGCTGCAGTAAAATGGAGATTAAAATACCTACCTCACAGGATTGTTGGGAGGATTATGAGAAAACATAAGTAAAACTGAGCCCTGTGGCTGTCACTGGGGAGATACTTCATTACTGTTAGCTCCCTTCCCTTCTAGGTGGCACACAGATAAATGTGTACACGCACACAGGCACACACAGTGTCAGAGACACAAACACCCCAGGCACACAAAACAACACAGAAACATCTGGGCATATTCCTACCCTCTCCCCAAGGGAGGTAAGTGCACAAATCAATGTCCTGGTACTATTTGTGACACACTTACACACCCTTAGGAGGTCCTAAAACTCAGTTCTTCCAAAATTTGGATTTTTGCCTTTGAGCATTTCAGGCTCCAATCCCTTCTGAGACCCTGGGTAAGTGTATTTCCTTTCGCCATTTCCTCTGTTCTGTTCTTCATGGCTGTAGCCCCACTCTGACCCATCCCCTGCCATCCTACCAGACTGTTCCTTTTTTTATTTTTATTTTTTTTTAAGACAGTCTGTTGCCTAGGCTGGAGTGCAGTGGCATGATCTCAGCTCACCACAACCTCCGCCTCCAGGGTTCAAGCAATTCTCCTGCCTCAGCCTCCCGAGTAGCTGGGACTACAGGCATGCGCCAACACGTCTGGCTAATTTTTGTGTTTTTAGTGGAAACAGGGTTTCACTATGTTGGCCAGGCTGGTCTGGAACTCCTGACCTCGTGATCCACCTGCCTCAGCCTCCCAGTGTGCCATGATTATAGGATTACAGAGTCACTGTGCCTGGCCCAGACTGTTCCTTTCTTACCTCTTGCTATAATGGCTGCTGGAGCTCTCTCTGGGGTCCTGACTTTAAGGATCTGAGACAGGGCAGAATTCCCTCCCACCCACACATCCCAGACCCTCTCATCAGCCAGCTAATCCCAAAAAACAACATGAAGAATAGGCCCAACAGCTGGAAGGGCTGGAGCCCACCTGTGGCAGCTATGAGCTAGGTTTGTGGGGATGCAGCCAGGGCCCCAAGGGAAGGGAGTGTCATCAGAGGACAGGAGGGCCTTCAGCACAGGGAGGGAGATAAAAACGTATTAGGAAGGGCAGGAAACTGAACGTCATCATGCTGAGCTGACCTAGATTTAGGCTGTAGTTTGGGGGGGCACATTTCCTGAGGTCTGGCTTCTCCTTGCACTACTAAGAAGGCACTGCCTGAGCTCAAGATCATCCTGCTGCTGTCAATCCCAACTGCTTGTACACATCAGCTGGCCAGCCTACTCCTCTAGCACCCTGACTTTCCTGCAGCTGCTGGGCAGTCCTACAGCTAAGCTTGGGGGGCCCCGTGGCTGCTTATCAGCCTACAGGCTCAGACTTGGTAAACAGGCACCCTCAATCTAATGCTAGCTGCAAGAGGTTTTACTCAAAGTCCATCCTGGCAGGAGACAGGCTGGTGGTGGCACCCTGGAAGGGTAGAGAAAGTATAAGGCCAGGATCCTAGGGGCTTCAAAACTTCCAGGCAAGACCAGGCATGGTGGCTAATGCCTGTAATCCCAGCACTTTGGAAGGCAGATGCAGGGGGATCACCTGAGCTCAGGAATTCGAGACCAGCCTGGCCAACATGGCAAAACCCCATCTCAAAAAAAAAAAGAAAAAAAGAAAAAAAAAAAAAATCCAAGCAGAGGGAAAATGCTGAAAAGCAGGGCAGATTTCATCACACCACAGGTCATCCCCTCTACCCTCAGGTTGAACAGAGCAGGGGTGCCATGCCTGTCCATTTTCAGCTTTGGCAGCTGCTGCAGTGGAAAGTTTGGGTTCTGGAATCAATTAGGCCTTAGGTCTAGTTCCAGGTCTGATACACAGGCACTTAAGCTTTCCAAATCCATTTTCTCACCTGTAAAATAAATCGATGTTTAATAATATCAATGAGCAATATTGCAAATAAGCTAGTAAGTGACAGAAACCATTGTCTATGCCCTCTTCTTCCTTGCTGACCAGTGTGGGTAAATTGTTTTTTTTGAGATGTAATTTTCCTTTTGTTGCCCAGGCTGGAGTGTAATGGCGTGATCTCGTCTCACCACAACCTCCACCTCCCGGGTTCAAGTGATTCTCCCGCCTCAGCCTCCCAAGTAGATGGAATTACAGGCATGTGCCACCACACCCAGTGAATTTTGTATTTTTAGTAGAGATGGGTTTCTCCGTGTTGATCAGGCTGGTCTCCCGACCTCAGGTGATCCGCCCACCTCGGCCTACCAAAGTGCTGGTATTACAGGTGTGAGCCACCGCGCCTGGCCAGTAAATCTTAGTCTAAGTCCATCATGGGAATTCCATTCTCCTGCCAGTGATTAGTCTAGGAATGGAAATGGGACATAATTCTGGCCAATGAGATCTGTGGGAAAATCTAGGGTCTTCTAAGGCACCCTTCCTCTCTTTTCACCTTTCAGTATTATAGCAAATGCTGTCTGGAGCTGCTGCAGCTATTTCACACAGCCAATACACTGAAAGCAGCAGAGCAGAAAGTTTAAAGAATGTTGATTCTTGATGCCATCATTAGGCAGTCAAATTAAACAACATTGAAACTGAAGCGGGTATCTCTGGACCTCTTACATGAGAGAAAAGTTTTCCTTATTGCTTTGACACTACCATTTATTTATGTGTAATCTATCCTTACTATAGGCAGACTGCACCACTGTGCTTTCAGACACAAGAAAAAAAAAATCCAACTGTGAGTGTCACCTTGCCTGAGGTTCACACTAGTCAGAATGGGAATTAGCATTTTGTAGTGAACATGAAATGGAGTAACAGGGACTTCTTTCACTCCTGTGGCCTCCCAAAAGCCATTGTTCACACCCTCAAAGCAATTTGTAGGCTGATAGCTAGAATATTTGCATAAATAAGTGAGCTGTTTCTCACTATGTTCCCTTATGGGAGGTATATCACTTCCCAAAAGCCCACAGCCCTGCCAAGCTAAGACAACGATGGCAGCATAATGGCGGGTCCCCTAACATACTGTCCACTTTTTCCCCAAGAACTGTCACACATATGCACCCTTCCTACCCCCAAGGACCTCTGGGATTCCTCCCAGGCTTTGGGCCCTGCTGTACCATTCGCATTTCATGGAGTTGGCTGTCCCCCACTTCCATGTAGGTGTCAAGGAGCACTGGACTGGGTGCCACAGGTCACCACCAGAGCTTGATTTCAGGTTCTATAGAATGACTCAATGCCTGCCTGTTAGTTCTGCAAATCTAATGTGTCAGAGAAAAAAAGGAGTGGGAGGGAATCTCTAATGTGGCTCAAAGGGCACAGGCAGAAGCAAATACTTATGCTCTGCCATACAGAACTTGTACATCTTAAATATGTATTAAAACCCTTAAAAATATGCAAGTAGGTTCAAAAAACCTACATTTTTTTAACCAGCACCTTCACTTCTAGGGGAAGAAAATAAGTATGCAAAGGCGATTTACTGTGAGGCTTATTATAGCAAAAAATTGAGAATAACCCAAATGTTCCTCATGGCGGGGGGTTGAGTAAATACAGTACTCCTTACAATGGAGTACTATGCAGCCATTAACAATGAGGCAAAAGAGACATGAAATGGTCTTATAGTATATTAGGTTTTAAAAGGAGGGAATAAAGTAGGATATATGGTTTCATTTTCATTTAAAAAATATATATATCTGTTTAAAGGCACAGAAAAAAGTTCAGAGGTATAGTTACACCAAGGCATTAAAAGTGGTTATTTGGGGCATCAGAATTTTGGCTGATTTAAATTTCTTTTTTGCTTATTTTGTATTTTCATATAACATGAGGAATGTTAGTATATATAACATGTACTCCTCACAAAAGAGTAGTAAAGCTAAAAAGAGAAAGCAGGGCCAGGTAGACAAGATGTCTCTTTCAGCACTGGCTGACCCTGGATATTACACTGGCAACAAGATGATAGACTCTGTGTTCTACCATGTTCCTGCTGTGACAGCTGCATGGCATAAAGAGGCAGAGATGCTCTACTTCCAGGATTCCTCAAATGTACTTAGAGTCTTCTTCCTAGTGGGTCTGACCACCTTCTTAGTTTGGGCTAAGAGCTGGCCGACATCCAGCAGCAGCAGGAACAGCAGGCAGATGATGGCTGGGATGCAGGTGCTTAGTGACTCTTTTAGAGCTGCCAAGGTGAAGATGGCCCCTGGAATGGAAAGTGAGGTCCCTGAGGCTTCCTGGAAGAACCCAGGAGATCCAGGAGCTCAGGGCTCTCCCGTTTAGGCTGACCCACTTCAGCCCAAGCCCTCCTATTAAACACCCCTACCACTCCCAACGCACATTCCCAAAACTAGCTGCACTCACCTCTGACCTCCCGGAGAATGCAGGACCAGGAAATTTAAGCCTCTTGAACAACAGTAGCAGTGTCAACAGTTGCCCCTCTCAGAGGACAAGAAAGAAACAGAAACGACCCAGCCAAATTCTCCCTGATCCTTTTTTTTTTTTTTTTTTTTTTTTTTTGAGACAGAGTCTTGCTCTGTCGCCCAGGCTGGAGGGCAATGGTGCTATCTCGACTCACTGAAACCTCTGCCTCCTGAGTTCAAGTGATTCTCCTAGCTCACCTTCCTGAGTAGCTGGAATTACAACACCACACCCGGCTAATTTTTATATTTTTAGTAGAGACAGGGTTTCATCATGTTGGTCAGGCTGGTCTTGAACTCCTGACCTCAGGGGATCCACCCACCTTGGCCTCCCAAAGTGCTGGGATTACCAACATGAGCCACCGAGCCCAGCTCCTTCTCCTTTCTTAATCCTACATCTACCAGGATTAAGATGGAGGGAAGGATTAGCCCAGGGGCTGTTGGTTGGAGCTATGGGAAAGGTCTGAAAATGAGAGAAGCGCAGAGATGGAAGCAAGCCTGGTAGCGGTGGCAGATGCCGGGGCATACAGAAAAGCCTGAAGATATCTGACCTTTGAAACAGCAGCTGTCTTTGTACATCAGCAGTTCCTGTGGGCAGAGCTTCTAGGAGGGGGACTCTCTAGGGAAATTCTCTGCCTTCCTGTTCAAGGTTTCCCAGCTTCCCTGCTCTCTACACCAATCTGCCAGACACACATCAAATGGCAGCTGCTGCCCCATCCCCTCATCCCAGGAGTGGGCATGTGGAGGAAGGGGCAGAGGTGCTAAGCTTGCAATACATCTTCGAAAGGGAATACTATGCAGCCATTAGAATTGAGGAGGTAGAAGGTACACTTAACATGTGATAGTGTTTTAGCACATTAAGTTTAAAAAATACCTGTGCTAGTCTGAAGACCAAGGAAACTGTGGTAGAGCAGAAGTGCTCTTGATTCCAGAGGAAAAAAAGGGTGACAACAGTACGGGGGAACACCCAGGTCTTTCCATCATCCTCCCCCAGAAGACCCCATTTTCTCAGGCCAGTTGGCCCCCTTACCCATCATGAGCAGAATCAAGAACAAGTTACTGATCTCTTGCAGCATCGGTGGGCCTGTGACCAGCAGCAGCCCAGCCAGCAGTTCCAGGAAGCCCACAGCTGTTTGGTAGCTCAGGGGATCTGGCTGGTAGCCAAACACCTTCAGCGGGAACACCTCAGCAAACTGCACGAACAGGGCTTTCTAGGGGTGGCAAGGAAGGCCTGTCAGCCATGCTCATCAGGGATGTGCTGCCCAGATGCTCCACAGCATATCTATGCCTGTACCCTTAACTCCCCCGACAAAAGAACTACTACTACTCTAGGTCAGGCCCAGGCCTGAGGTCAGCCTGGAGAGGAGAGGGCTGCCCTGTAGCTCTGAGCTTTGGAATCAAGAAACAGGATCCATGCTCCAAGTGGTACAGAGACTGATTTTCTCACTAGACCTGTCAAGAGGTTACAACCCAGCCCCAAATCCCAGGAGGAGGGAGCTGGGCTTGGCTGGTTTTCCTTTGTGCCTGGCCTGGTTTCTCTTAAGGTTGATGTGCAGGGAATACTTGGAGGTGGGACAGAGGTGGAAGGGCTCATTAAACAGATTCCACCTTGAATCAGTCTCCTTTGTTGGGTCCTGGATCCCACCGAGGCAGACACAAGGGCAAGGTTAGGTGGGCTCAAAGTGATTCTTCTTGTCAAGGCAGGTCCTCCCCTGAGCCAAATGACAACTTCATCCTGACTTTCGGAGTTACTTTTTTCTGTTCCCACTCCTCAGCTCTACCTCCCTTCCTCTGCTCTACCTCCCTTCCTCAGCTCTGCAGAGAAGCAGCTCCAAGCCGTCTGTCTCTGAGGATGTATCCAGGCCTTGGAGAGGGAGGTCAGCAGGGGTCTCCAAGTCTGGCTCTTTTGAGGGACTGGGGAGATTGGTGAGCAGGACATGAAAGCTTTCCCATGAATCTGGAACTAGACAGAAGGCTGAAAGATGACCTCGGGGCTTCCCTCTCAGTCTTCATGAAAACGACTCTTGGGTTCCGAGTTAGGAGTGTCTAGTTTGCGTCCCGCTTCCTGACTAGATGTACAACCTTTAGCAGATATACTTGCCCTTCAGGGCGGGCTTCCTTCCCTGCAAAGCCAGGATTACTACACCCCAGCCACACGAACTTCCTAAGAACTGAGGCAAACGGTGAAAAGGGAGAAGAGAGCAGGGAGGGAGCTCAGTCGTTTTTCCACTGCATCTTCCACCCCCAGGGTCCCGGGGAACCTCCTAAGGCTCGACTTTTCCCTGGGGCCATCAATGCTCAGCAGGAAGGGGAGGTTCTGTCCCCTTCCGTCTAGGGAAGGTCCAGAGAACTCGAGGAACTCCCCAGGCAGGACCCGCGCCTCAGTCGAAAGCCAGGCGCTTTCCCCCAGCTCCTCCAGCTTAGCCTCGGAAGCCTGAAGACGGCCCGCCGGGCCGGGGGCGGGGAGCGGCGGGGCGGACCACACGCCGCCGCGGGCCCGATCCCCGGCCGCCCGCCCGCGCCGCTCACCATCCGCTCCGAAACTGGAGCTGAGATCTGCTCCGAGAGCTTGGCCGCCCCCACGAGCGCGAAGAAGCCTCCCAGCAGCACGCGCAGCACCGAGAGCAGGAGCGCCATGGCTGCGCTCGCCCCGCGGGACACCGAGCTCGCCCGTCCGAGGGTTGGCCCCGCCGAAAACCCGCCCCTGCCGCCGGCTCATTTCCTCCCTCCCCGGGGCAGCCGGAAGACTCGCGCCAGAGCTCCCGTACCCCGCCCTCCAGGGGGTCGCGAGGCTCCAGCACTAGGGCAGGGCGCCCCCATCTCACAGGTGGGGATACTCGAGGACCACTGGCTCGTAACTGACTAAACCGGCGCCTTTGGATTCAGGGAGTGATTTTCAGCCAATACGGAGTGCGGGCAGACACGGGTGGGTGTCTGGGTGCGGCTCAGCTACCATCAAAAGACTCCAGGGCTTCGTACCTGCCTGTGCCACGCTAGCTGTGGGATCTGGGCTGTCATCCAACCCCAACCGTCCTCAGTATCTGCCTCTGTATATGCGGATAACTCAGTTCTCCAGAGTTTGTATAACAGGCCTAGGACAGTGCCTACACATGTTAAGAGCTCAGAAAGTTATTTGTAAATTAATTTATAAAGTTATAAGCAATAAATCAATAACCAGTAGTTAAATAAGTTTCTTTTCTGTCTTTGCCTGAGATATCTTTTCCCTCTAATTTCTCTCAGCTGAGATTGAAATGTGAAAGGTGTCTGAAAATTCCGATACTTGCAGCGATGGATAGAGAGGCTTTCACTGAACAAAGCCCTACAAAGCCACTCCTGGCCCATCTGCTCTTACCTGGAAATCTCTAGAGCTGGGATGGGCAAACCATGGGCCAAATTTGGCTAGCTATCTGATTTTTTCCCATGCATCTCCCCTTCCCCCAAGCTAATAAGGTTTGTTTACACTTTTTATGATAAAAACATTTTTTAAAGAAGCTTGTGTGACATCAAAATTATATGAAATTCATATTTCAGTGTTCACAAATAAGTTTTATTTAAACACAGCCACACTCATCTGCATATCGTCTATGGCTGCTTTTGCACTGCATCTGCAGAATTGAGTAGTTGTGACAGTACGGACTGCAAAGCTGAAAATATTTACTATCTCGCTCTTTATATTTAAAAAGTTTGCTAAGCCCTGGTATAGTGGGCCAGAGAGGCCCCAAGCAGGGGTCTCAACCCTCCCTGCTGCTTCCATTTCTTGTTACCCAAGCTGCTTAGATCTATCTTTTCTGGCCTGGCATGGTGGCTCACACTTGTAATCCCAGTACTTTGGAAGTCCGAGGCAGGTGGATCACCTGAAGTCAGGAGTTTGACCTCACCAACATGGTGAAACTCCGTCTCTACTAAAAAAAATACAATAGCTGTGTGGTGGCGCACACCTGTAACCCCAGTTACCTGGGAGGCTGAGGCAAGAGAATCTCTTGAACCAGAGATACCGCTTGTACCAGGCAGAGGTTGTGGTGAGCTGAGATCTCACCATTGCACTCCAGCCTGGGCAACAAGAGCAAAACTCCGTCTCAAAAAAAAAAAAAGATCTATGTTTTCCATCTACTCACAGCCTTGCTGGGCTAAGTAGCTGGCTGGCTGAAAGACTGAAATGTTCCACTTGCTTCTCAAGGCCAAGCTGTTTCTAACATGCAAGTTGTGCTGTTACATTATAAAATGGGCCTCTCATTACCTGCAGTCTTTGTCACTAATCCAAATTTATTAATGAAATAACCACATTTTCTATCCTAGATTATAATGATACATAATTATTTATAAAATCATAATTATTAAATTCCTCAACAAAAAAAAGGAAAAATTATTAAAACATTTAATCACCAAAAACACAAATCCACATTAGGAAATTATCTTTTAGGATACTTATACAAAACTTAACACAAAATTATTGACACTGATAAGCAATGTGCATGTTGCTACTCTTTCTCTTTCACTAATTTTTCTATCCTTGGAATTAAAGATGTGACTGCAAGTCTTAGGGCAGGGCCAGAAACTGACAGATTTCTTTGTTTTGACTCAGTCAAAGCTGAAAAGGCAGCATCACATAAATAAACAGTTGAAAAGGGTAATAAAAATCTCATTGCCTTTTCATGGAGTTCTGGGTATCTTGCCTTTGCATTTATCCAAAATTGAGTTACAGACACTGATTTAAATACTGATTGCAATCCTAAATCTGAAGATAGCTGTGTTAGCTTTTCTTCTTCGAAGTCGGTGAGATTATTATTTTGGTGATTCATAAAAGGGTTAATTATCCACAAATTTCCTGAACGTAAGTCTTGTTCTGGTGGAAAACAGTCACTGAAGACTTGAGAAAGTCCTTCCAGGTGCTCAAAAATAATCCTTGTGATCTCTGTCATATTTAAGTCTGATGAATTTGAGAATTCAGAAAATGAAGGGAACATGTCATAATCATTCTCTTGTGTGCACTTCAACCACATTTTTAACTTTCTCTTAAATACGTCAATTTTATTACACAAATTGAAGAAAGTAGTCAAAGTTCCTTGGAGACTTAAATTTAATTCATTTATAAGTGAAAATATATCTGATAAGTAGGCCAGCTTTGCAACCCATTCCTCATCATGAAAATACTTGGCCAAATCTGAATGCTTTTGACTTAAGAATATTTCAATCTCATGTCGTAATTCAAATAATCTTTTTAACATTCTCCCTCTTGATATCCAGCGTACTTCAGCATGAAGCGGTAAACTCACGTGCTCAGACCCCATCTCTTCACACAAAATTGTTAACATACGTGAATTTAATGCATTGCTCTTTACAAAACTTAAAATTTGTGCTGACTGCAAAAGAATTTTATGTAAACATGGAGACAACTTTTCTGCGGCTAAATGTTCACGGTGAATAAAACAATGTGTAAATGCCGCTGTATTCATGGCAACTTCTTGAATTTTTGCTTTTAAACCAGAATACCTGCCAGTCATGCTTGCAGCCCCATCGGTGCAGAGACCAACACAATGTTTCCAATTCAGAGATTTACTATCAATATATTTATTTATTAGTTCAAATATTTCACAACCAGTTATTTGATTAGGCATTTCAATGCAAAATAATAATTCTTCTTTTACATCATGACAATCATAATCAATGAAACGAATATAGCACAAAAGAAGTGTGATATTTGAGATATCTGATGACTCATCTATCTGAAGGGCAAACCACTTTGACTCTCTGACCTTCTGAATCAGCTGGTCTTCAATATCTGCAGATAGTTCATCAATCCTGTGTTGAATTGTAATATTAGAAAGTGGAATTGTTTTCATTTTGTCTCCAGCACTTGAACCCAAAACTTCTGAACACATTTCTACTAAATACGGTTTAATTAATTCTTCAGCAATGGAGAATGGCTTCTTGCTTGCAGCAGTTTGGAAAGCAATTAAGTAAGAAGCTTTCACAAGTGACTTTTCAACTAGTAAATACTTTTTTAAAGAACTATTTCGACACTCCATTTCTAGAGATTTTTGTTCAAAAAAATCTACTGGTTTGTTTTCTAATTCTGAATGTTTTGTCTTCAAATGATGAGAAAGATTTGCTGGCTTCATGTTTTCACTGGGTAAGATCTCTCCACAAATGACACACTGTGGCCTTGGTGAACTTTCTTTTGATCCAGGACAGATAATAAAACCAACTTTTAAATATTCTGTATCATATGTCTGGAAAAAACCTAATCTTTTTTTCTTTGAAGGTGGAGAATCAAGTTCTGCATCATTTTTTTCATTAGGCATAGGTAAATCTGAATGAAATATTTGAATCACTGTTATTTTCAAGAACAAATAAGCAATGTTCTTTATCTCCTCACACGTTTAAAATTCATATTTTGTTACTATTTCTATTTATCAAAAGAATGTGTTGATACACGTTTAAGTACAAACCATAATACTTCCAATGATGCCACTGAAAACTGAATTTCTCCTTTGCCCAAAGCTTGATCACTGGGTGTAATAAAACTATAGGATGTGGTACGTAGTCCCAAGCACCCAATAGGTTATTGAAACTAGGAGTGAAGACCACAGTACACATCAAATTAAGAATAAACCTTTTGGCTGAGCAGGGTGGCTCACATCTATAATCCCAGCACTTTGGGACACCAAGGTGGGTAGATCACTTGAGCCCAGGAGTTAGAGACCAGCCTGGGCAACATGGCGAAACTCCATTTCTACAAAAGAAAAACAAAAATTGGCCAGGTGCAGCGGCACACAACTGTAGTCCCAGCTACTTGGGTAGCTAAGGCAGGAGAATCGCCTGAGGCCCTGGAGGTCGGGACCACAGATAGCCATGATCATGCCACTGCACTCAAGACTGTCTCAAAAATAAATAAATAAATAAATAAAATTTGTAATTGGTTAGTGATACTAGTGCCAAAATTTTTTTTAAAGAAAATGAAAAAAGAGGCCAGGCACGGTGGCTGATACCTGTAATCCCAACTCTTTGGGAGGCCAAGGCGGGTAGATAACCTGAGATCAGGAGTTCAAGACCAGCCTGGACAACATAGTGAAACCCCATCTCTACTAAAAATACAAAATTAGCCAGGCATGGTGGTACATGCCTGTGATATCCCAGCTACTTCAGAGGCTGAGGCGGGAGAATCGCTTGAACCTGGGAGGCAGAGGTTGCAATGAGCCGAGATCATGTCATTGCACTCCGGCCCGGGAGACAATAGTGAAACTCTGTCTCGAGAAAAAAAAAAAAAAGAAAAGAAGAGAAAGAAAACTAATGTTTTACTTTCAAACAATACAGGAAAAAAAAAAAAAAAGAAAATACTGCAAAAAATTAACATTTCATTAATCTGGATGAAGAGTACCCTAGTGTTGACTGTACTGTATATTCAACCTTTCTGAATTTTGGTACTTAGCATCAGTGAGGTTGTAGAGAAATGAATCCTCCTGAACACTGCTGAACACTGCTCCAACACTGTTGGAGCATACACTGATGTAACTTTTCAGGAGGGCAATTTAGGCAACAGGTACCAAAAGCCTTAAGAATCAGTGATAGCCTTTGAATCAGTAATTCGACTGATTACGATTTATCCTAAGGACATAATTAGACAAGTGGACAAAGATCCATTAACACAGCTTAACTCAACATTGCTTATAATATAAATATCTAAATTTCTAATCTTAGGGAGTTGGTTACATTATATACACTGAAATGTATGCTAAGAATCTCACACCCAGGTAACGTATCTACAGATGTACCCCCTGAATAGAATAAGATAAAATAAATACAAAAAAATTAAAATTGGAAAAAAAATAATCTCAATGTATATTTAAATTTATATTGACGTGGAATAATGTTTCCACTGCAACATCAAATGAAAAAGTAGTTTCAATTGTTAGAAAACAATTCAAGATTTATTCTTTTTTTTTTTTTTGAGACAAAGTTTCACTCTTGTGGAAGTGCAATGGTGCGATCTTGGCGATCTTGGCTCACCGAAACCTCTGCCTCCCAGGTTCAAGCGATTCTCCTGCCTCAGCCTTCCAAGTAGCTGGGATTAAAGGTGCATGTCACCATGCCTGGCTAATTTTGTATTTTCAGTAGAGATGGAGTTTCGCCATGTTAGTCAGGCTGGTCTCAAACCTCTGACCTCAGGTGATCCACCCGCCTTGGCCTCCTAAAGTGCTGGGATTACAGGTGTGAGCCACCACACCTGGCCAACAATTCAATATTCAATCTACAACTTTTTTTTTTTTTTTTTTTTGAGACGGAGTTTCACTCATGCTACCCAGGCTGGAGTGCAATGGCACGATCTCGGCTCACCGCAACCTCCGCCTCCTGGGTTCAGGCAATTCTTCTGCCTCAGCCTCCTGGGTAGCTGGGATTACAGGCACGCGCCACCATGCCCAGCTAATGTTTTGTATTTTTAGTAGAGACGGGGTTTCACCATGTTGACCAGGATGGTCTCGATCTCTTGACCTTGTGATCCACCCGCCTCGGCCTCCCAAAGTGCTG